CTCACATGTAGGCTGGGTTCATTTTTACAATTTTATTTAAATGGGTGGTGCAGACTTGAAATCTAGACCTTTGCTTACTCTGATACTATGCTGAACCACTTGATATAAAAACTGAAACTATAACATGAGGCTAAATGTATGTCATCTAAATACATCTTCAACATTTTGCTACAATAAATTTCTTTTGCTTATATGAACAAGTCATGGAAAATTTAATTGCTGTTGACAGATTATGATAGACAGTAATCAAATCTGGATTCTGAAAAGAAGTTTAATCTAGTTCACTTTCTCTTTTAATACTTATATTACAGGTTATTTTCCTATGAGTTTCTTCATTATGTCTTCACAGGTTCTGGGTTTACTGGTCGAAGTAATGAGTAAGGGTTTCGAAAAGCACCTAACTAGTGTACTGCAAGCTATGAGAAGGATTTTGCAGTTTGCTATCACTGCTCTTACATCTGAACAAGATCTATCTGATGAAGCCGTGATTCCTTGGTGGAAGGAGGCATATTATTCATTTATTATGTTTGAGAAGATCCTAGATCAACTCAAATTTCGTAACTTGTGCTTTGACAGAGATCTTGAGGTACTGATCTGTTGCTTTTACCAGTGAACGCATAGTAGTGTGTGATCCATTGTTATAGCAGTACCTTTTTTTGATTTTTCTGTTCTAAACTTGTCCAACTTGAACTATATTTTCTTTTCATGGAAATGGTGGATGAAACTTAGATTTTAGGTTATCTGAGTCATAAATGCACATGAAAATTGGAATAAATCATTATCGGGTGGTTGCTTCCTGCAATATAATCTACCTAGCTGTTTCTGCTTCATCATGTAGTGTATTGGAATTTAACTTTTGTTTCCTATTTTGAATGGCTGAATGAGACCCATTTTGCTAAAAATAAGAGTTTCTTTTCTGCTCTTTCATATAGCTATTATGGCCCCTTATTTGAAACTTTTCCCAGATTATCAAAGTTTTATTCATGAAAGCATTATTGTAAATTTAGCAGATCCTGTTATATGCATTCTGGAAGTTTTTCTGAAATTTACTGCTCTTTAGTTATTTTGTGCATAGGTTGACTTTTACCTTTCTATTACTTTCTTCTTCTACCTTCCATCTTTTCTCCATTTATATTGAGTTTAGTAAGTTCATTTGACTTCATACAGGATATATGGGAAACTATCTGCGAGTTCCTATTGCACCCTCACTTGTGGTTGCGCAGTATATCAAATCGCCTCGTCTCTTTCTACTTTCAAGTGATTACCGAGACTTGCACCAAGAACAAGGAAATGTCACTGGAAATATTTTTGCTAATGAGACCAAGCAGACTTTTCTCTATAGCTGCTTCTCTTTGCTGCCAACTGAAGGTGCCACTGATTGATGATGCGGCAGGCGATTTAATTGTGAAAAATCTTGTGTTTTCAATTTGTGGGTTGCATTCTTTTCTAGTTAAGAACGAATATATGAATCTTCCAGAGTTCTGGTCAAACCTTGAACACAATGAGCAAGACCGTTTTCTTGAAGCTTTTCATGCTCTTGACTCAAGGAAGGGTAGAAGCACGCTTTTATCAATTACTTCTGGCCTCGTTGTTCAGCATGATGCAAAGAATGATGAGCATCATCAGCATCTATTTGTTTCTTATTTGCTTCAGAGGATGGGAAAGATTTCCCTTCAGATGGGGGCCACACAGGTGCATTTCTGGGAGCGCTATTTAAGAATTTTTATTGGGGAAGTTTTTTGAGCTTGAATCATGTTAATTCTTACCATATTAGAATTCCTTTGATCTTGCTCTTTTTGTTAGGCGTGGCTCATTCTGAGCTCTTTCCTTGGTTCGTTATACAACCATACCATCCATTCTTATTTTATTAAGAGGGTGTTTGGTGGATATTAAAATTAGATTTTTAGTGGATTGTGGTAGAAGTTTTTGAAATGTGTGGTTGAAAAGATGTGGGACTCATGAAAGATGTGGTTAATATTGATTGTTTGACTTTGACTTAGATTAAAATCAGATTTTAATCCGGCCCAAACATGCCTTAAATGTTTTTGAAAGTCGCATAGGAAACAAGAAAATGTCCTGATTCATTATACAACCATACTGTCAGTTCTTATTTTATTTAATGTTTTTGAAAGTCTTATAGTGCTGATGGCATATAATTTCTTTATCGCAGATGAAAATTGTCTTCAACTGTTTCAAATTAATTTCTCCGACACTTCTTGACTGCTATAAAATGTTAGCACCGGTTGGCAAAGATGATTTCCATGATTATGCATTTCAAATGCTGTTTCCTTTATACAAAGTCTGTGAAGGGTTTACTGGAACGGTTATTTCAGGTAAGTATCGTCAATTCAAACCTTGAATTATATAGTTAGGCTTGCATATTTCTTGCCCTTCGAATTTATAGCTTCGGCATTCCTGGTTGTGATGGCTTATGAGCTATGATGCTATAAGTAAATGCATACTGTGTTGCTGAATTACATAACAAAACAATGTTAGTGTGACTGATCCTTTGGTAATAAATTGGACTCAGAAAATTTATTATTTGCAAAATATTAGTTCTAAGGTAATAAAGGCTATTTATCAGTGTGTATTAGCTATAAGCTATGATGCAACGAAACGGACACTTGTCGGATACGCCGACATGCAATTTTTAAAAGAAGTATCATCGACATGTTGATTAAATTCTTAAAAATTCTTCCTTTGTATAGTATAAATTTAGTTTTATACTTGTTAATTTTTCTATTTTCATCTGTACAACAAATAGAGATCAGATTTTAGGTCCAATTTTCAATATTTCCTGAAATAAATATGAAAAATAGACGTCTTTGACATATGAATTGAAGTGTCTTTCTAAATTTGTAATTTATCTTTCCATTTAATGTAGTTTAAAATCACCGATATTTGGTACCAACCATAAATCATCCGAATGACCAGAGTTCTTCTGTTCTAATGATAGTAAAAACCTCTAGATTAATAAAGCTTTTGATATATCCCGTCAGAATATATTTACTCTTTTTTGCTAACATGATCAACAACAATTAGAATAATGATGGCAGGCAATCTGAGGATTGTTAAGAGAAATAGAACTAGCATCCATGTTTTTTCTTGCAATAAACATGAATGAGTTTAGGACTTGTGTGTGGAAAAAAGAGGAGTTACTATAAACGTGAAATTTTTGATTTGACAATCCAATTAACTTTTTTCTACTACTATGTTAGTGTTAACAGAAGTTTTCGTTGAAGTTTATGTTTATTAGCTTTTCAAAAGTAGCTGTATTTTTTTAAATGGGTGATGGATGTTCATAATTGTGGACAAGTCTCGCATCACTTGTCCTAGTAAAACATTGCATCATTTGGAATTTTGCGTTATATTTTAAACGTAGTGTGAAGTCGTTTTTGAGTCGGCCTTGTTACAGTTACTAAGAATCTAGTTGCTTTAGATTTTCCAATAGATTTAGCCATGAACCAGATGGAGTAACAAATAAGAATTCATGTTGCTTACTCCATATTTATTGGAAAACGTTTCATTTTGCTGTATTTTAAACATGTAGCCTAGATAAGCATAGACTTGGAAATGAAAGTGTAGTCTTTGATTGGGTCACCGTTTGTTGCACATGTTATCACTGAATGCGTTGTACTCAACTACTTGATATGGTACGGAATAAAAAATTTTGTTGGTGTCATTTTCTAGTTCTGACTGAAGATGGTGTTCTTTCTTGTTTATCTTTTTATTGACATATTAGAAGTTCTGTTGCCAATGGTTGCGGAGTTGGTCTATATTTTGCTTTGCCTTTGTTTATGACAATCTTATTGACATTCTATTTGGGATGATGAACAAATTGTAACCTCTCTGTTCCCATACCAGATGATTTGAAACAATTAGCACAAGATGTTCGTGACAGCATAAGAGATAAAGTAGATAAACCAGGAACGCTGAATTTCGTTCAAATTTACAATCAGATGAGGAAAATTCTCAAAGGGAAGCGGGATAAGAGGAAGCACGAAGAAAAAGTAATGGCTGTGGTAAATCCGATGAAAAATGCTAAGAGGAAGCTGAGAATTGCAGCTAAGCATCGGGCCAACAAAAAAAGGAAAATTATGACCATGAAGATGGGAAAATGGATGCGGTAAAGTCTAAGCAGCGCCATTTTTTTGGTGATCTTGGGCAACAAACTGCCAAGAAGAACATTCTGATTTCAAAAACTACAGCATCCAGTGAAATGCCACGACAGGACTCAACCTGGTGGCATATGGGCGTGTACTTGTATTAAATTTTACACCTCGACCACATTGTTAACACCCAGAGCTTCAGGTTGCTTGGAGGAGCGCACTTCCTCAGAAATTTTGATATCCATTATGCTGACTGTAGCAATTTTCAGTTGTCGTATATATTTAACAGTGTACTATATGATGCAAAACTGATTTCTGTACTAATGGAGCGAGCTGGCTGACTGGCTCCTTTATTTTAGGCCAATGTTAAAACTATATGTACTTGTAAATGTCTCAATTTATTGGAGTTTTGAGCTTTTGGCTGACTGCCATTTTTTAGCTTATGAAAATTTTTTGCAACTATAATATTAAAAATAACAATTACGAAGAATCGCTGTTATACATGTAAACGGGAACACTATGCATAGGCGTATGTAGAGAATCGATGACCAAAACAAAGGATTAACATCAATCATTGCAAAATCCTCACCCATTAAAAACTGTCTAAAAATCATTCAATAGACAACTTTCTGAAGAAAGTAATACTGGAAACATAAAACTAAAAGCTGATCTCATATGGTTCTGCAGTCAAAATGAACCATCAGCCAATAACCGCATCTCTCAGCGGAGGGGAGAGCAAAGCTTTCATAGAAGGCCATTACAACCCTCCGCATAAAGATAAACAAAACTAAGTTCAGAGTTGAAATGGAGAAATGCCCATGGAAACCATTGAAGAAATATCAATCTGCCAAGAAGATGTAACTCTGGCTCAGAAATGAAGAATTGGTCACTTCATGACTTGAATTTTACCTTTGAGATATCCTGCACCAAGGGGTCGATAAATTTTTATAATTAATATCTCAACCAGCATCCAAATTTATGTACAGATTGAGGCAACCACATGAATAATATAATTCATAAAATTTGAGGGCGCGCTCACAGAATTCGGCACCATGGGCATAGAGTAATTATTGAGTATTAGGAAGGTAGATCCTGAAAACATCTTTTGCTTTAAGCTTACGCCTACAGGTGGGACATTTGTGCTGAATTTCTATTGCAGCAGTAATACATTTTTTACAGAAGATGTGGCCACACTTGGTTGACGTTTCTTCAACAACTGGTTCCATGCAAACTGGGCAACTAAATGTGGGTGCTTTTTGCTGTGGCACGGGCTGGGATAACTGAGGCATCACAATTTGACGGATTGAGTGTCAGGTCATAATAAAAAACAATTCAAGAAAATAAAAGCATTGAGTCAGACAAAAACATGAGTAGATGCCTGAGGTTTAAATTTGAGGAGCTAGATATTCCAATGAGTGTGAAAATAAGAGAGCCAATAAAATATTGTATGAACAGTAGCCCACTTTCAACAGTTAGATGATAATTGGTTACCAAAATAGCTTTCCAAAATATAGAATTATCTCAGCAAGACACGGAGCAAAGCTCAGGTGCAATGACAAAGAGGACCACTATCCAAAATGTTCAAACTTGATTAAACATAGTTCAAATTCTAATATATAAGTTATTTATGTTCGTAGGTTTATCACCATGATTCTCAACCTCCAATATGGATGAGATCAATACTTAGAAAATTGTCTTGAGCAAAATAAAAAGATAAACAACTAAAATTAGCATTTATAAAAATGGAAGGAAAAAGCATTTGGAAAGGTGGGGATATAGAGCACACAGGAGATCTTATCAGCAGCTAAACAGTATTTTCTATTACAGACCTTTGTTTACGGTGTAGAGGTTGAGTTCTAACAAAAGAAACCCTGGGGGAGTGGGTTAAATGATCGTGGCATTCTACAACTCGGTTCATAGTTTTTTGCTTCAACATGCACAATTGGAATGCAGTTGTTTCAATCTTTCATTTCCTATTGAATTATATGGCAGAAAATTTGTATTTATTACAGTTACAAATTAATTGAGATGAACAGAAGTATTAACATCAATCGTATTGAAGTTCATTTGAAATGGAAAAAATATTCAATTCTTAAGAAATCACTTATTTCATCTAAGAAAAAAATAAATTCAAAGGATAGATGGGCTCTTGATCAATAAAAAATAGCAATACAATTATACAAGAGTATTATTAGTGAAGGTAGAAAAAAAAATCCTTCACTTAGGCAGAAAGGAATAATCGGGTCCAAATTAGGAAGCCCGGTTTGACGTTCCAGTGATGAAATTTTATGAGCTAAAAACAAAAGTTAAACCTAAATAAAAAGGGACGAAAGGTAATTTTGTTGTGTAACAGCAAAGATAATGTATGCTTCAAGGTCATCCAATAGTTCTAAAGGTAGTTGTACCTCGACTAAATCTTGGTCCACCCAGTGCACACGGGTATTAACACCACCACCTCTTTGTTTTGCAGAAATTCTTGGGCACCTGTTACCATTACCAGGCCGCCTTGCTGTGTAGTATAAAAATACTGTCAGAGTCCGAGATGCAATAGAAACCAACCTCCAAAAGTGATGCAATTTGGAAAAAATATATCCCTATCAAATGTACCATAAATATTTATATAACTATTGACAAACTTAAATGGTCTAGTACTATAGTTAAGTAGGCAGTTTTTAAAGCATGTTGATGCAAGAATCTACTGAAGATTGCCAAACATATAAATTTGCAGACTCTATTTGATTGAGAAAAGCATCATCAGGAAATTGAAAAATTATATAAAATTCCAGTTCAGGGCCATGTTCATAGAGTTTTTCAATCGACTTTCATGTTATATTGAATTAAAATTCAAAAATCTTTCAGTCACTTTAGAGGCCTAAAAATATTAACCTGCATCAAATAGTTCTTGTTTTATAAATTTTTGGATAAGAAAGTTCAGTCAATGTAATCATCAAACAGACAAACAAGATAGAGGTTTGAATGCAGTGTTTTTTGCGCACAAAGTGCATCTAGACTTTCATGTCACGGGATTATATATAATACACAAGCAACAAGAAGTATTCCATTTTTTATTGAAGAGATAAAAGTACTTCTTTAAAATCCCAACTTAATATCAATAAAAAGAGAACTTGGTAAAAATAGCAGAAACCTGAATCGGCTCCCTGAAATTCAGATTCATCATCAACGACCTCTATTACAGTACGGTTCCTTCTGGACTTATTAACAGCCTACAATAAAATGTGGATCAGTAAACGACTTGCAACATTGCAATAAAATTAAAATGATTAAAAATATATTAAAATTTTTTACCTCGGCGAAGCTCCTAGGAGAGCAAATGATTACTTCATCATCATCGGGCTCATAAGATGTCCTCACTTGTACGCAAGGAAGTCCAAGCTTCAAAGTCGTATCGACATTCAGGGAATTATTTATTCCCAACGAATCCTCATCTTGTGGTGGACAATTGAGGTCCAAATTGAGTACCATCTACATGATAACATAAATAATTCAGGGCACTAATTAGGATATGTGAGACAATTTGCAACATTAACATGCAGTAAAACATAAAAATCTATCAATACATGGAAATCCCATGGACATTTAACACACATTGGATATCAGTTTAGCAATCAAAGATGCATAAAATCTGAAGGCGTATTCTGTAGTCCAAATAAACAAGCAAACATTGTGTTTTCCAAAACCTTTCTGCTTCTAGGAATTTACGTGACACATAATTGAAAAAAGAAGAAAAATTAACCTGAGACCGAGCAAATTTGATCCAAGACTTTTCATCAAATTAATGAAATTTGACGAAAACTAATCATACTCATCTTTCCTCCTTGATACAAACAACCACCTATTCAAAATACTTTCAAACAAAAACAATAGAAAATGGAAAATACATAAGAAGAATTAAAATGAATAAGATTGATCACATTCGTTATTGATAGTTTAAGATCTCAAGATCAAGGGCTATTACTTCTACGCACACCAATTGTTCTTGGATAATAGAGTTACGCTTTTAGGTTTCCTATTATGCAAACAAAAAGTAGGGCTTTTGTAATGTTTTGGGGATGCTAAAAAGTCGATTATCATATTAGGAAAGACTTTTACGACACAAGCAGTCTTATTGATGAGGATTGAAGTATGATGAAGATGTATAAATATGAAAATATCGAAATAAATGGACAGACAAAATTATCAAATAATGCGGCATATCATTAATTGAACTTATAAGCTCCACATGCAAGTATGCAATGACAATCAATATAATAGTGGAATCATAAAGGTATCTTCAGCAAATGTACTTCCCTTTTCAATAAATATGAATAAAATTTCAAAAATTAAAAAAACATCATTCAGCTCCACCTCACTCACCATCCCCCCAAAATGTAAAATAACAGATAAAAAATAGTTTTTAAAAAGTTGATTTGCAGAGAAAGAATTTTCTCAGGAAAAACCAATTTTTCTTTGCTTTTGATAAAACTTTACCCGATATACATTTTTCACACAGAAATAGATTATGCATTAATCTTATAATAGAAAACCTCAAAAAAAGGAACAAATACAAGCAGAAAGATATATTTGCTAAGAACCCTCTTTATCTCAAACAGCACAACATTTCAAACCTTTACAACGCACACTGACATAACGACAGAAGACATAGACATACATTAACATATACAAAACACAGAGAGAGAGGGACATGTATAAATATCACGAGTAATGTCTTTAAAAAAAAAACTTTACATGATTCTAAAACAAACCATAAATCAAAGAGTAATTCAAAGTAAAATGGTCACCAAAAACCACTGCTAAGAGAATACCTTCTCAAAGAAAAGAAAAAAAAAAGCAGAAATTCAGAAAAAAGGTAAAATTCAACAAAAAAAAGGACCCACCTTTTTTCTTGAAACAAAGGACCCAACTTTTAAAAAAAAAAAAAAAAGCATTGTACAAAAAGGAAAAAAGAAGGGCAAAAGGCCATACCTTTCGATTTCGACTAGTGAGGAAGAAAGACTGATGTAAGATTTAGGAGGAACAAAATTAATAAAAATATATGTTTATGAAGGAAATAAAGACAGAGAAAAGATGGGATTATTATGTAACAAACTTTTTCCGTGGAGGGTTTTGTCCAGTAAAGAAAAAATTTAAGCAAATAGGAGTCTTTACCGTTTTTCCATAAGAATCTCTCTCACTGAACGTTTTGAGTAAATTGCATTAATAGTGCATAATTGTTTTTTTTCCTTCATTTTTGAGGAAGGAATTAAAATCAAGCAAAAGAATTTCTTCCATTTTTTCCCCTTTATAATTCAAAGTTGTTTACTTTTCCTTTTTCAGTTTTGCAATTTCTTGAGAAACATGTAATAGTATTGAGACGAGTCTATGTTTAAAAAAAAGTGAATATAATATATATTTAAACATTGACTTTAGACAAATTTTGTGTACGTCAACCAAATAAATGAAACAGTTCGTATAATAACTTTGTTGACTGGTCATAATTTATGCAATGCACTCAATTGAGAATCGAGATTTAGTAGTGTTTGTTAGGTGTAATCTTAAATTTGAAATACATTCAAATATCTTAAAATCCATTTATTAATAAAATTCATATAAATTCAAGAGTTATTCGGGGGTATCTATCTCTTAGTGAGTTTTCATGAAATCCATTAAAATCTAACACCTAGATTTTAGTGGAATTTAATAAAATATATTAAAATATCAACTAGTGACACGTAAATTTATAGGGACTTAAAATTCTTCAAAATTTCAATTGAGGACACCATAATTTTTGGGAAGGTAAGGTCGTAAGGATAGTCATAAATTCCCAGTTGATTCTTATTTTATGTCTATTATATACTCACTAGTACCTTATAGATGCAACTAGAAGTTCCTTTAACTCCAAGTTTAGGACCTCCATTGCTTCTCTATTAGTGATAACATGATCCACATATTCAATGGAGACACCTACATAGATTCTTTGAAAAACATGTAGGGCCTGTTTGATTTGGCAAGAATTTCATGGAACTTGGAAATGAAATTCCATTTTCCACCATTTGCAATGTTTGATTGACATAATTTTCTTGGCAATTCATTTTCCAATTTATGCTTCACACGGTTCCAATTCCTTGCTTTTGTGGAAAATCAATTCCCACCAAATTGGTGGAATTTGATTTTCCTGGTAACTTTTTTTTTTATTTTTTTGACAATGGAAACAAATTCTATCCCTTTTATTAGATAATTTTCATATAAAACAAAGTCAAACGTACACCAAAAAATCCAAAATTTCAATATTTTCCACGTGAAAAATTATACTAATCAAACACAATTAATTGACAATTCCCAGAAAAACAATTCTAGACAATTCAATTCCCTAAAATTTATTTTCTTCCACCCAAATTCTACTATTGCAATCAAACGGAC